ACAAAGAGGTAAATATGTTACATTACTTTTTAATGGCATTTGGTGAGTGGAAAGTGAGGTTAGCCTTCAGGCTGAGGAAGTTCTGGATAGAGCGAAGTCCACATCAGTGACCATTTGCCCCTGCTATCATAGAGGAAGGGAAAATGGGGAAAGGCCTTTTTACTGCTTCTGCCATCCAAGTTTTTGTCCTGGTAGTTTGTTTTTGTTGGCAGCAAACTGAGGGAGGGCTGAAAACAGAGGGAGGTGGCAGGAGTAAAAGCACAAAAGAAGGGACACTTTGTAATGCAGTGATCATAAAGTTAATTTTCACCGAAAGCAGAGAAAAAAGGGTTATGTTTAGTTGAATAGCTGCTGAATCAGAAAGTGGAGATGATATCCTCTGAAAGAATGGCCTGTGCTATAGAAATGGTGTGTTTAATGGGGAGCAGCTTCCTCCACTGGCCCTGTGCCAGAGGAGAGACAACAGAGCTCTGAAACACTCACAGCTCTCCACTGAATACTATTAACCCCGTCTCTGTGTGTGTGTGTGTGTGTGCTGAGTCCTTACTGACGTGTTTACATTAGGGAAATGAACTCTGGCTATCACTGGCCCTTTGCTTGAAGGTTGATTGAGCATGAACACACACATTATGGCACACACATACTGATACAAACGCACACACAGGCACTAGGGGATCACGGGCAGTCCCTCCCCATGTGCAGTGGGTTGGTTTTGTTGGTTTCCCCTCTCATTGGTTGCAGACTTGGCATTTGGTCCCGGCTATTTTCCGGTTTATGACTGGACAGTAGGTCAACGACTGAGTTTAAGGTGGATATTGCTGTATAAGTGGACATGATGAGCTATTAGTATTTGCAGTTTAGCAATCCGAGCACCACCAGAGCAGCATTTTGCTCTCCTGGCTTAAACACTAACATATGCTCAGACATGGAGCCATTAGAGTCTGAGAGGTGTGCACAGTTCCCAGGGAAACTGGAGCCTCTGAAAGAGTGCCAGTTTAATGTGTGTGTTTGGAACACCGCATCAGCTAAGGCGACCCAAACCGAATAGGACCTGATAAACAAAATAACAAAGCTGACTCAATTTTATTCTTTTAAAGCAGAATATGCGTTCAAATATGAACACGTAGTTACATTTTTTAAATTCTATATGAAAATCTTTGACAACTTTCAAGGTTATCTTTTCACAATGTTTTTATTTCGAAATATCTATAAAAAGGTGTTTTTTTACATGATGCAATTAACCCAGAAAACAAATGTTTTCCTCCATAAAGATGTGACTAAGCTGTAAATGTCTCCCACCGTGAGACATAAATACTTTTAAAGCAGAAGCATTTCCCCCATAAACATCACACAAGCTTTGCAGTCATACTCTTGTTGTTTTTATATATCTATATATGTGTGTGTTTGAATACATATGTATATGTACAGTATGTAAATAAATATTTTGCCTCTCAAATGCAGATATGGTCTGAGAAATATTGTGCTCGGTGTTCTTAGAGGCCTGCTTCTTGTTTCAGATAAGTTCACTCTCCAGTCACGGATCAGTGAATTTAGATGCAGTCACTCTCATACTGTTTGCATGTGTGTTTGTTGGCTCGTGTGTTGGCTGGCTTAATTAGCATGATGTGGTTGGGTAGTTACTGTAATAAGTCTATCCCCTCTGAGCTTGTGGATAATGAGTTTCTGACTTTGCGTGTGTGTTTGACAGTTGAGGTTTGGAGCTTCTGACAAACTATTTGAACGACGGAAGGCATAAGATCCCCTTCGCCTTCTGATTAATCTACAAATGAGCATAGCATGAAATTAAAGTAGTTTGGGTGTGGGTGTGCACTGTGTGGCAGCCTGTTTACACCCTGGGGTATCCAAACCATTTTCCCGTCAGAGCACAGAGATAAGAGGAGATAGACGCCTTCATCTGCTGAGCCAAGCATCCACTGTCTGCTTCCCTGTCTTCTTCTTCACGCTTCTCTCTCATTCAGACGTTTAATCGTGGTGCTATGGGCTATTTTTAGCATCAGATGTGCTTTATTGAGTGTGTGGTCTGAGACTGAATCTGTGTGTGCATGATGCGTGTGAGATGCTCGCTTTAAAATCAATGCTATGGATCCATCCTCTGCAGGCCCAGCTGGCTTAAACGCTCCTCCAGCTGAGCCCTGGTGTGACTGCCCGTGTGTCTGCGTGTGGATTGATTTTTGAAAGCTGTTATTTCTTCTCCCTGTTGGGCATCTGATGGGATCTCATTGTCCTTTTTGTGTGTGAATGTGTGTGTGTGTTTGACCTGTTTGAATATTCACATCAGTGCCTGTCAAATTGGTCTGATTATTCCTTCTGTATGACAATAGTGAAAACGATTAACCGTTTAGAACATTACATTTCAATGAAGACTCGTTTTAAGGCCATATTCTGTAGTAAGATCTCCATCCCGCTGCGGTCTGTCACCCTTTAGGATTTTCGGGAATAACTGAGGGGTTTGTGTTTCGTTATATTTGTTTAAAAAAGTCAAACAAGCTGAAAGGACAAAAATGCCCACATAAAATCTACACACGGCAAAACTCTTTTCAAGCATTATCACAAAGACCCCTACAGTGCCTCCTATTTTCATTTCATTTTGATACAACAACACCTCATACAAGAAGAACTTAAGATGTCAAATGATTCCTTGTGTTTCACAGAGGGTTTAATCCACCGAGACGCTTGCTGTGAGTGAAAGGTCAAGCATGGGACGTTGTTGTTCTTTCAGCATTTAGAGGGGTTCCACTGGAGCCTGAAGCATAGCCTTTATTTCTTTATTGTGTTTCTCATCACGGATGTTCACAGTAAACTCTAAATTACGCTGATTACTGAGCTTTTTTTATTATTATTTATTAAAATGCAGCACCACAAAAATCCCAGACCTGACACATTAGCTCTGATTGTTGTTAGTCATTGTGATTATCATTATTTAGCACTGAGCCCATCCCTGTAATGCACTGCATCCAGCAGCACTGACACTGACCAGTAACCGGCTGTTTGTTCACACCTTAAAAGTACTCCAGCAAGACGTTGCAAAGCATCATCAAAGACAATCGACTCCATCTATTGCTTAAAAAAATCAAACACAAGATATCATCAATATACAAGGAGCTTTTCATGAGTGCACCTCCTAAACCAACCCTGTCACTGTCAATACATTTGGCACGTTTCCTTTTCACTACTCATGTTGAATATTAGATTAGTCTTTTCTTTATGTATAATGTATTGTTGATTTACAACCATGAGCATGCAAATTGCACAAATCAATATTTGTGAGCTTTAGTATACTCTAGTATGAAATGGTCTATGTCCTGAACCCTCTTTCTCATGATGAAGACAGCACAACAGAATGCCCAGTCTATGGTCACGCCTGTGCTTATGTGAGACTGCAGCTGGACAGTTTTGAACTAAACGTTAACCATCTTTTTATAGAGGCTTAACAACACCAGTTAAACAAACGAGAACCATAAAAAGGAGCAAAAACTGCCACTGAAAAGCATCCTCTTAAGATCGCGCATGTGCATGCAAACATGGAGCCTGCAAAGCATGAGCCACAGTGAATGAATGCCCGAGGAATCATTTCAAAAGAGCCCAGTTCAATCAGATTTTATTAATCCCCAAGTTAAGGATTTATGTTTGCCAGAGATGTATGTAAAAAGTCTATTTTTTTCTGTATTTCTTGCCTTTATTGTTAAGTTTAACACTCAACACACACACACACTGTTAAGTTTTCTGCTCATAGCTGTGCTGCTCATCTACCATTTCCACTCTGTTAATGATTAGCTTTAACAGCAATTTTAGTTTCATTAACCTCTGTGTCACAGTCACATCCAGTATTAAAAGGAACTCATCTGTCTGTGAGCTGCTTTCAAAGTCGCAGTCTTAGTAATCAGGTTGTCGGTGCGCAAACGCTGCTGCTGAATTGCACTTTTTTAATGTATTTCATTCTTCCCCAGAAGACTCCTCCTCAGTGATTCCTTAAAAGCCTGAAGCAGAACCAGAAGTTCAATGTTGTGTGCGTTTTTTTGTCGCACTGTAAATGTATGATGAAGGGATTAAATGTGTGTGTCTCTTTGGTGGGTGTGGTGGGTGCATGCTTGAGAGGAAGCATGTGGGAATTAAAGATTGTACAGTAGGTTGTTTCTGAGTTGCATGTGTAGGGCATTTGTTTCCAAAGTCTCTGTATGGATGTCTTTGCGGTTCCCCCCCGTCCATCCCACCCCAGCTGTGTGTGGCTGGAGGTTTCTCCTGCTGTCTTTGGCTCTTTGCTGTGTTTGTGTGTGCGTCTTTGTTACAGCATCCCATGGGGAGTCTCTGGTGTAATTGTAGAATGCGGGGGGAAGTTGATTTGCATTCCCAGAAGATCAAATCAGGGGGGAGGTTTAGCCTGCTGAGAGGTGGACCCGGTTCCTCAGTAAACGCTGGCTCATGGCTTTTCCCTCAGCTTTAAGTAATTACCTCTCTTCTGCGTTATACCTCTGACTACCACCTACTCAGGCCGGCCTCGTGTTTTATGTACGTTAAGTGAGAGCGACATTCTTCTGTTATATTTTCAACTCGGTTAATCAGCGTTGCAGCACAAGCTTATTACAGAGTGGCATGTCTTTATCAGCTACATCCTAATTCAGCAGCCCTGTTGCCTGCAGGGCGTTTTTCAGCCGCTGTGCCATCAAACCAGTTAAAATTACTTTCAACTTAAATACCGTGTTCTCACAGTCTATGGACAGCACACTTTGCTGTTAAGCGGTCTGCCCATAAATGAGTCTCCTATTGGGAGGGATTTCTGTCTCACCATACAGAGGCGTGTTGGAGAATATGTATGGCGTCTGAGCAGATGATGGGGCTGAGTCTGTCCTCTAAGTTTCTCACTAGATTCATATGTAAATGCTGAACACCATATATTTAGGGTGATCGTTTTTGGTTTGATTTCTGTGCTGGTGATGTAGGTGTGATAATCACAATATGTAAACTGCCGAGTCTCTGTGAGGATGTTGGTTTTCTCTGTATGTCTCATCATTTCTTCCCCATGTGTCTCCTCCAGAATTCGTCCTCAGATGGCCAAGGAGAAGATAGAGGGCTGCCATGTGTGCACGCTGGTGACACCTGGGGAGCCGCAGGTCCTCCTGGGGAAGGACAAGGCCTTCACCTATGACTTTGTGTTTGACATCGACTCGGAGCAGCAGCACATCTACCAGGCATGTGTGTACAAGCTGATCGAGGGCTGCCTTGAAGGCTACAACGCCACTGTCTTTGCGTATGGACAGGTATGTGCTTCAGCATCCATACACTCACGTTTATTCTTGTGTTATTTTGCACTTTTTAAAGTTTCTGTTTCTGCAAAGGCTGAAAGCTGAGGCCCTATTCAGTCTTGCCGATGGGAGTGAATGTGACTTTTTGTTGTTGATGAAACATATCTCAGACTGGCTCAGGGAAGACCTACACCATGGGGACGGGTTTTGATGTGAGCCTGAGCCAGCATGAGCAAGGCATCATCCCGCGGGCGGTTCACCAACTGTTCGAGGGGATCCAGAACAGGAAGGTGCGCGCACAGGAGGCCGGCACTCAACCACCAGATTTTAAAGTCAGCGCCCAGTTCCTGGAGGTGGGTGACGCTCGACACAATATTGCTTAATCTTACATTTGATAACATTCGTGGTAATCTTACTCCCCTAAGTGCACTTCTGTTTTTTGCATTCTGGATGTGGGTCCTTATTAACTCTAACCAGATGAGACAAATAGGGGATAAAACAGGATCATCCTCCTATTTCACAAACAGGAAGTGACAGCCTGAAGACAGATGGGCTGGAATGTCTGCCTGTGCTTTGTTGCTTCTGATTAATGTTCGCCATTACCTCTGACATTATTCCTCATCACTGTGTGGTAGAAGATGGATATGAGTGAGGAATCAAGAGGAGGGAGGGATAGGTAGAAAAAAATAGATATATAGCCATCAATCATTTCATTGGCAGGCAAATGTTTGGGCTGTGTATTGGTGTGTAGTTGTATGTGAGAGTGTGTCTAATGACTTGTCTAATGCTGTAAAAGAAAGGATGTATGTTGTATATAGAAATGAAAGGTTAAGGTTTGCTTTATTTGTCATTTTATATGCCGTCCATGTTGGTGTGTTTGTGGTCAGTTGTCAGGTCAGAAGGTTATCTTTGTTGATGGTAAACAGATGTGTGTGTGTTGTGGTAGATGGAAGAGCTGAGCTTTCAGCTGACCCTTGTGACCTTTGCCTTTACTGGCTTCAGTAAGGTCATTATTTTGACCACTGTGGCGTAGGAGCTTTGTTTCAACAACAAAGACTGCTGTCTAAAAAAGAAAAAACAGCCACTAAAGACTCTGCTGGAGAAGAATCCATATAACACATATTTAAACAGCATGAATTAGCTGTTTGATGTCCACAGCTGTCTAATAATTCCACATATTATTCGCATCAGACCTGGAGAATGACTGGCGATATGTCTGCCTCCACTTTCAATGTAGTTGTACAACGAGGAGATCCTGGACCTGTTTGACAGCGCCCGGGACCCAGAGAGTCGCAACAGGAAGTCCAACATCAAAATCCACGAGGATAGCAGTGGCAGCATCTACACCACTGGAGTCACATCCAGGCTGGTGCACTCAGAGGAAGAGGTGGGTCTGTGTGGGTCCATTTCAACTTGTTTCATTATTCTGCTGAGCAGCAGCGTTCCCCATTCAAGTGATCGCAATACAAGCACTTCAGAAGATTTTAATTTCCCTCCTATTTTGTCTAAATTATGCTTTGTTCTGTGCTGCCTAAAGGACACCTTACCTTTTATTCAGCTTTATCTTTCTACAGTAATTATTTTAAAAAATGGATAAAGGTCTTCATCTGCAAATTTCTATGGGCAAATTCTGTGGCGAAGATTCAAAAGTTTTCTTTTGACAACTCCCCATGAAGGTCATGTTTTCACAGCTGCACATCAGAACGCTCCATCACCTCTCCCCAGAATCTGCAAAATCTTTTTCTATTATCTTTTACCATCCTGCAGGGTATCGTTGGCCTTTTGAGTAATCATAGGAAAACCTATCTAAATGGTTCCTTTTCTGTCTTTGAAAAACTACATAACAATTTGGGAAAACCTCTCGTTGTTTTGAACCATAATGACACATATTAACACAGACGCAAATATGGTGGTTAGAGGTGAACGTACTATACCATGTGGAGTTTAAAAAAACATCCAATAACCATCTTGTGGTCGGTGATCAAAATCAACAAATAAATTAAGAGGACTTAAAGAGACGTCACTCTAATGTGCTGCATTTAAGCCAGCTCCCACTGCGAACAGTTTTGTCATTTGACATTAGACTAATGAACTCTAATTTTCTTGAGAGGGTGGCCTGTTTACAGGCACATATGAGGAATGATTAATAGTTCTAAAGAGATTAACAGCGAGCCCGTTTAGGAAGGAGGTCAGTGCTACATCCCAACGTCTGAAAGGGTCACACAGAAAACAGGATGATTTAATGAGCAAACGTTCTGCATTACTTTTTTTTTAATGTGACAAACTAGAAAGACGACTGAAGGTTCAGAAAGGAAGGAGACGGGACAGATAATATTCATGGATTATTTATGTGTGCAGCAGACACGCAGATTGATATATGGGGTGGGGGTGGTGGTGGTTATGATGGAGTCTTAGGTCTTTGGAGGAAGAATGAGACATGATGTCTAAAAAGATAGAACACTCTTGATCGATATTCCAGTTAACAAATATGATAGGCATCATGTGACACTGGAATAAGATAATCAAGCTATTTGTATTTGGTCTGAGTCTGCACGATTGGCTTCACACAGTTTTGTTTGTGTTCATTTTGATTAAGAATGTAAAGTAGATACTTGACTGAAGTCTTTTGTGTGTGGTTGTGTGCTGCAGCTGCTGCAGTGTTTGAAGTTGGGCGCTCTTTCCCGCACCACGGCCAGCACACAGATGAATGCCCAGAGCTCCCGCTCGCACGCCATCTTCACCATCCACCTCTGTCAGATGAGAGTCTGTCAACAGCTGCAAATGGTGAGATTGGAATCAAAGTTCATCTGCACCTCTTGAACTGAGACTCTGTCTGCTGTTACTGAGAGTAAGCTGAAAGGGTAAAACACAATATGTTTTTTTAAAAGGAAAAAGCATGCCATGTTGTCCAAAAAAGGTATTTTTGAACATGTATGTGGAATGAAAACAGAAGTAAAGCACAATAGATTAAGTCTGTATTTAAACACAACCGGATGCAAGGTGATGAAACGGCTGGCAATCACTAGCAAGAGGCTTCGGCTCTGCCTCTTATTCTGCCTCCCTGTCTTTTTATGATGCACGCTCACCAGATCAATGGCGGTGGAGAGAATGGGGAGGTGAACACTGTGGACTCCAGCCCCATCGGCCAGCCAGAGTATGAGACGCTGATGGCCAAGTTTCACTTTGTGGACCTGGCTGGCTCTGAGAGACTCAAACGCACAGGAGCCACAGGAGAGAGGGCCCGGGAGGGCATCTCCATCAACTGTGGACTGGTGAGTCAGACGGCAAGGAAGCTATGTGCCTGCAACGTTTGTTTTCTCAGATGTTGCAAATATCCCAGCTCTCTCTTTCTTGAATATGTAAATGCGTGTGTTTCTGCCGTGTGCCAGCTGGCACTGGGAAATGTGATCAGCGCTTTAGGTGATCAGGCCAAGAAGGGGGGACACGTGCCGTACAGAGACTCCAAACTGACCCGACTGTTACAAGACTCACTGGGAGGCAACAGGTAAACACACACAGCCAGAGTCTCAGACATCCTATACAGTATTTGGTTGTGCACTAATGAAAACAAATCAAGATTAATATTCTTAATAAACTCCAAATTGTCCCCTGTGTTTCTCTGAGATGCGGCTTACAGTGTCCATCTTTTCCCCCCTCCAGCAACACAGTGATGATCGCCTGCGTCAGCCCGTCAGACCGCGACTTCATGGAGACCCTCAACACACTGAAGTACGCCAACCGCGCCCGAAATATTAAGAACAAGGTTGTGGTGAACCAAGACAAGACCAGCCAGCAGATCAGCGCGATGCGAGCTGAGATAGCCCGACTGCAGCTAGAGCTGATGGAGTACAAGGCGGTGAGTGATGGATGCATTTTCGGAGACAGAAGTGTGGACAAGGAGGATCTCAGAGGAGGAAAGAAAAGGGGACTTGAACAGGAGGGGGGAGGACGCGTTAAACAAAAATCTGTTGTAGGCTGGCTGTCACTGTTGCTGATGAAATGATGTCGTCAGAAATCACTGAATGTGCTGTGAAGAGGGATGAAACTGGGGAGAAAAACATACACAGCTAATGGGAAGCAGTTGCCTTTCCACTGCAGCTGATAACTAGATAACATGAGACGCCAATGGTGGAGCTCAGAGATTTCCACAACCCCTCCAGAAAAAGATTAGGCATGTTACTTCATGCCAGGCGTAATGAAAACAATTACAAGCTCTGTTTAGAGTCCCCACTTCTTTTATCATGTTTGACTTCTGCACTGTACGAAACAAGCAGTCTTTCTCCTCTGCTGACAGTCTGCTGTTAGTAACCATCACAGTTACTAAAGGGAGGTCACTCTGAGGAGACACTTGAAGCTGACCTCGATGCAGTCATAAGAGATGTGATGTGACTGCAGCCTAAACAAAATGGAGTGCTTGCGAGCGGTGACTGGATCAGATAGTGGTGCTGTGTTTGAGGCTTAAACGACTGGAATCTTTCCAATGTTAAGCATTCAAAGTTCAACAATAGCTGATTGAAGGACCACAGACAGATGAAGTCATGTCGACAATCGCGCTGTGTTAGGTTGGGCTGCTGCGTCAATCTGTCTTTTATTTCCCTAAAACACGTGTTTTTGTCGGTGCTGGCTGTCTGCTCCGTGCAGGGGAAGCGTGTAGCATGCGAGGAAGGTTCAGAGGGTTACAGCGACCTGTACCAGGAGAACGCCATGCTGCAGAGAGAGAATGACACACTGCGCCTCAGAGTAAAGGCCATGCAAGAGACTATTGACCACCTCAACACCCGTGTGACACATCTGCTGGCCAATGAGGTCAGCACTCTGCTCGCCAAGTCAAGTACGTGAGAGAGATGCCTGTTTTTGTGTCCGCTGCTATTATGCTCTAAAAACAGTCCTAAACCTGGCAAGTTTGATTTGTACCTGCAGGTGAAGGCAATGAGGAGATCGGGACTCTGATTCAGAAATACATCCGAGAGGTTGAAGAACTTCGGTAAGAGCTCAGACCATCCGTGAAAACCTAAATGACCACGGGCCACCGCTCACACCTGAGACCTGTCGTTTTTCATCCTAAATCTGAGCTCTCTTTGTCTCACCCTCTCCCTCCCGTCAGAACCAAGCTTCTCGAGAGTGAGGCCATGAATGAGTCTTTGCGACGGCAGATGGCTCGGCTCTCCTCTCGCTCCCCCTTTCCAGCCTCCACACTCAGCCCCGCCCCCGGCCACCCCCCCGGGTCCTCCCCTATGCCCATGTCCATGGAGGCAGAGATGACGGATGTCCTGCGCCGTGCCAAGCTGGACATCGAGAGGCTTAAGAAGAAGGAGAGGAGGCAGAGAAGGATGAGGTGAGGAGAGACCGGCGCAGACTTTCTAAAAACTTTGCACTGTCTAAAAGCAGAGCCTATCACGGGAGCTGGGAAGAGTTCAGTTGTATGTTAAATTAACTTTTAATTGCTGCCTTTAAGTCTATATCTATGTGCCTGTCCAAAGTGGAAAAGGTGAAAAGGCCTAATTTTCTGCGCACGTTCTTTCTCCTCATTACTTTTCTCTTTAAAAGCCACATCACAAATTACAGCTGTGGGACTTTGGGATAATTGGGATAGTGCCGGTGCCGAGTTGTAACGCTGGCTTGGACACAAAAAGGTCTCAGTCATTTGGCTGTTGGGTCACGGGAGACATGAGTCCACAACCTAACAGGCTAATTGCGGTCTAATGGCATAGAGATTGACCTAGATGGGAATTTAGAAATGGAATGGTGTTGTAAAAGACAGAGCATAGGGGAAAGTAAAATTAGTAATAAAGCTGATGTACTGAAATGGACTGCACAAGTGATTTAAGTAGACTGATATTAGCACAAGCACAGCACTTTGCAACACTCTCAAAACCTTAGTGGGTTTTCAGTGTGGCATCTGTCTCTCAGGGGCTGAGGCATCTGCATTATTATTGCAGATTTATTCTGTATTTTTTTTGTTAGTTTTTTTTATAAATCTTAATTAAGTAAGTTATTTAAATCATAAGATTCATGTCTTCAAAGAACACCTCCTCTCCCAAGACCTTAATGTGCCCAACCTACAGTTACTTACACGTCTGTACTCACTCTACTTGCACTCAATGTTACTCCACTAAAGCTCAAACCACACTTCTCAGATGTAAGTCACTTTGAATTTGAGATAGATTGGCTGAATGTAAATCTGAATGTCAGCTTTTGCCTGCTTTTCCGCATTTGCAGTCCGGAGTTGGAGAAAGGCCTGAAAAAACGAGTAAAGCTGCACACTCAGGAGAACGGAGAGAATAGGCGAGGTGGTGAAAATGGACTGAATGGAGAGGTCGACTCAGATGATAATTACACTGAGGTAAGGTGTACATTAGCTTTAAGCCGTTCAACAAACAGAACAAAGACATGATGCTTGAATGGATCTCCGTGTGCAGGACATCATGTCTCCGCTGCAAGAGGAGAGTGGCTGTGAAGAAGATGAGGGTGAGGATGAAGAGGAGGGCAGGGAGGAGGAGGACGACTTTGACAGTGATGAGAGTCTGGTAGATTCCGACTCCGACTCGGATGATAAAGGTGCTACTAGGCAGCCGTTAAAATAAAAATGATGGATTTTTTTCTTTTGTCATTTTATCCTGTGTGAGAATGCAGATATTTGAATGTTAACTGATGTGTGTGTGTGTGTGTCTGCAGGCTTATAGTAATTAAAAGAAATTGACCAAATGTATCAGTTTCTAGAGTATAAAACTTTTCTCAAATGTCCAACCGGCAGCCAACTTTCAGGCAGACCTGGCTGACCTAACCTGCGAGATAGAGATCAAGCAGAAGTTGATAGACGAGCTGGAGAACAGCCAGCGGAGGCTGCTGATGCTGAAGCTGCAGTACGAGGAGAAGCTCATCCTACTGCAAAACAAGATCAGAGACACACAGCTGGAGAGAGACCGTGTGCTTCAGAACCTTAGTGAGTTTGGGCCACTTACTGTACCTGATATAAAGTATCCCAGCAGAACCTGTTTAATGGAATCTCTGTGCTGTGCAGTGTCCATGGAGAACTACACCGAGGAGAAGGCCAACAGGATCAAGCATGAGTACGAGAAGCGCCTAAAAGACATGAACCGCGACCTTCTCAAGCTTCAGGCTGCACAGAAGGAGCACGCGCGTCTCCTCAAAAACCAGGGGAGGTACGAACAGGAGATGAAGAAGCTCCAGACTGAGGTCAATGACATGAAGAAAGCTAAGGTAAAGAGAATGAGGCCGCAGAGATAAAGGCGAGGACAGAGGACGCTTTTATGGATCGGACGTATACTCTGCTTTTTTCAGGTTGTGCTGATGAAGCAGATGAAGGAGGAGCAGCAGAGGAGGAGGATGGTGGAGGCGAAGAGGAACAGGGAGATTGCACAGCTCAAAAAGGAGCAACGGCGGCAAGAGGTTGGGCCACATATGGAAGTAGTTGTCTGTATGTGTATGTATGTGTGTGTGTGTGTGTGCAAAGGATAACATTTTCATCTCAGTATGTCAGTGTCCTGTTGTCATCACATACTTTCGGGATGCATATTTACACTGGTGCTGTTTGAAATATGGCAATGAGAACATGTCACAACAGTGTGAGGAATGGTACATGTATTATTTACACTGCATGGTCCAAACCTGCTGCTCCTTACTGTATTCAAGCTAACCTCTGACTTTCTACCTGGCACAGTGGAAACCCCATTCATGCACCTGCATGCATGTAATACTATTCACATATAATACCGCGCAAACTATTTTCTCTTACTCCCCTCTTTCTGTTATCTCTAGATGAGAGGGATCAGGACAAAGCATGACATTTTTTTTGCATTCATGCTGCAGGCTTCATTCATTATCCATTTATTTAGGGTTTCATTTCACATCCCTTTACGATCAGATATTTATAAACTGGGTGTGACCCAACTTATCACTGTAAAATAAAGTTTTTATAAAGTTTAAGTGGAATGAAGTGCATAGATAAACACCATCCAGGGTAAAACTGCTTTTCCTTTGAATCCTCATCAGTACCAGATTCGAGCTCTGGAGTCTCAGAAGCGGCAGCAGGAGCTGGTGCTGCGCAGGAAGACCCAGGAAGTGACCGCCCTGCGGCGCCTGGCCAAACCCATGTCGGATCGCGTGGCTGGACGGGTGCCCCGCTGGAACCAGACTCCCCCGGTTACGGATTCTGGGGCCGATCTGTCAGCAAGCACGACAGCAAGCAGCTCTGAGCCCGAGACTGCGAGGACCGTGAGTGGGCTGGTGCGGCAGTGGAACAACAAGAACAATGTGTACGGATATCTGGGAGAGAGTGAGGGGAGCATGGATGGAACACGGGTGATCAGGTAAGATGAGCTGCTGCGGTCACTGCGTGGCTTCTAGTTTTAGCAAACAGCAACACCCTTTTTTAAATGATAATTCAGACCGTAGGTCTACATCACCTCCTCGTGTCGTCCCGCAGCAGAAAGAAGTTGCAGCGGAAACCAGCGGGACTGGGCAGCCCTGCAGCCGGAGGCAGAGCCAACACTTTCTCCAAGTCTGCACGACAAAAGTGGCAATCCCTGGAGCGTCGGATAATGGACATTGTCATGCAGAGAATGACCATATCCAACGTAGAAGCTGACATGGATCGTCTCATAAAGGTCTGAATGGAGCAAATCTACTTTTGCAGCTTTCCAACTCGGCTTAAAAAAACTTAAAAAAATGCTTTGTGTGTATTTTTTTGTTTTTTTCCATTTTTTGTGATGAGTCAGAAACGAGAAGAGCTGACAGTCCAGCAGGAAGCACTCTCTCATAAGAGGGAGGTATTGATGGCAGACGGGGAGGGACCAGAGGCCGAGGACCGCCTCCTTCAGGAGATTAATGAGGACATCGAGGTTCTGAACGCCAATATAGACTACATCAATGACAGCCTGTCAGAGTGCCAGGCAACCATTGTGCAGATAGAGGAGACCAAGGTATAAAAAATCCCATAAAAATGCAAATACACACTAAATATGCTTCTATTGAAACTTAGTTTTGTGTTATCACTCAGGATGAGCTGGACTCAGTGGACACCTCAGTAGTGATCAGCTCCTGCTCTCTGGCGGAAGCGCGCCATCTGCTGGACCACTTCCTGAAAGCCTCCATAGAAAAGGTGGGTTATTAGGAAAAATGACACAACAGAAAACCAACACACTTACTAAACAGTAATCTTCTGTTGTAAATGTAAATTTGAGAAGTTACAATGTTGCTGCAGTGCCATCTAGTGGGGACTCTCTGTACTACAAGACTTTTGTCTGGAGGCACTTATCCTAAAGAAATATCTAAAACGTTACTTTCACAGGACTATTTTTAGGTTTTAACACTGTCAAGCCCCTCTGTGTGTGCAGAGTTTACAGGTGGCTCAGAAGGAGGCTCAGATCAGGCTGTTGGAGGGCCAGCTGAGGCAGACGGATGTGATCGGCTCGTCCCACAATCACATAATCCTGGATGCACTACGAGAAAAGGCTGAATACATCCCTGAACTCCAGGCACTCATCCACAATGTCCAGCAGGGTGAGGGACATGGGTTGCAAACTTGTATGCAAATTCCACTTACTAATAAGCCAAAAGAACTGGTCTTTTATGTATTATTTCAGCGAGACAATGTCAAAATGCAGCCAGTCACAATAGCGTGGCTTCCTAGTAAAAGACTGCGGGTGCTATTCTGGTCTAGCTGAAGTCCCTGCTCTCTCCCATTAAATATGTGTGGCGCTTCATGAAGCTACAACAGAGACCCTCAGATGCTGAGAAACTGAAGCTGTACATCAAGCAGGAATGGGAAACAATTTTGCCTACAAGGCTTCAACAATTAGTGTCCTCAGTACCCAACTAGGGTTGTTAAAAGGAAGGAAATGTAACACAGTGGTAAACATGTCCTTTCCTGCTTTTTTGGAATATGTTGCAGGCATCAAATCCTAAATGATGGATTTCCCCCCCTCAAACAAAAAAAAACCCAACCAAGTTTAAAAAATCGGATATTTTGTCTTTGTTGGTAGGTTAAGAAGGATTTTGCATTTATTTATGTTTGACACAGTGTCCCATCTTCTGTGGAGTTGGGATCACATGAAAAGCTGTGTATGGGCTATGTGAAATATGTTAATATCGGGGGTTAGTGTGGATTCTACTTCTGCACCTGTGCTCATTAATCAGCTGTAGATCTAACTTTCTATCAACAAGGACAGAATCGGCAAGAAATGCTAATTAAAAAACATTTAAACAGAGATGGTATGATAAGATTGAATTTTGTAAGACCCAAAATATTGAAAATGAAGGAAAAAACACCTTGAATTTTAAATAAAGTGCCTACATTTAGTCTTTGCTGCATCAGATGACTGCTTTGGGACTGGTATCCTTTGGGACCTGGTGGTAATATTATGGGAGTGAACGGTTAATAATTATGGGTCCTGGTGTTGCTCCAGCATGTAATTACTCAGGTTTAGAGACAGTGATGAAGTTGAGATGATTAAAGCAGAACCGTTCCAAACATAAATCTCGGTGGGTTTCACAATTTGAGCAAATGCAAACATTTTTAGTGCATTTCATGAAAATAATGTCTATCTCTCTGTATATATTTTGAGTTTGTGTCTGTAGTGTACTATAGGATCACAAGATGTGGCTGTGTTCTGTCATTCCAGAAAATGGTTATGCCAGTACAGATGAGGAGCCCTCTGAGTTCAGCCAAGCCTCTGACAGCAGGTGAGTGAGCGTTCTTTAATACAACATGCACGTGTCAGTCAGAGCCTCACGTTTCTGCTGTGAATTAAAAAAAAGAAAGAAAAGAGGTCTAACTTATCAAATCATTAAGTGTCTTCTCTTCTCTCTGTCTTTTCCCCAGTGTAACTCAGATGAAGGAATCCAACAGCCAAGATGACTTTAAAGTAAAGGTAAGCAGTTCAGTGTCTGTCAGAGTCATGAGTTGTGGGTTATTGTGGTTGAGGCTGAACCCCTGCTCCCAACACGCCTACCTCATTTTTCAGAGTATCTTCTATTGTCTCTCACAGCCACAGTGTGGCAGTGCAGGCATATACTTTGATAATAGAAAAAGAATCCACCCTCCTAAAGCTTTGTGTTGTAAGAATCCCAGATTTAACACAAATCCCACTCATCCTTTTTTGTTAGTGCTGTGCCGTTTGTTTATATAATATTTTTCAAAGCATTCACCCTTTCGATGTTTTAAAGGGATGACCTTGATGGTTTCTAAATTTTTTGTGGAACTGCCCTCATAATTCGTTGGCTCCCTGCAGCATGACTGCCTTAATTTGATTTAAGATGAGGCTCTTATTGTTTTAAAAAAATATATTTTGAGCCTTGAATTTCCCTGTGCCGCTGCCCCTTCTCATTTGTCATCGTACGCTCTCCTGTCCTCTGTTAACACAAACGCTTCGCACATTTCAGCTGGAGCCCCGTCTGTCGGCCCAGATGAAGGCTGTGTCAGCCGAGTATCTCGGTCCCATCCTTGACCCGTCATCAGGCAGCAAGCCGCCGCACATCACCAAGTCTCTGGCCTCACTGACGGACATCCAGGAGGACGGCCTGAGTCTCATTCCCGGGGGTCTGGCTCTCAGCCTGGCTCTGAGAGAACCTTACCACAGGGACAGGGCCTCCCGCACCATCAGCCTGCCCGTCAGGGGACACACCTTGTAAGTCATTACGTTTTTAGCAATAGTGAAAAATTAGAGCAGCAGCAGCAGCCTTTCATCAGCAATACAAGCATTATTACATTACCTGTGGTTGTGCATTTTGACCATCTGAAGATCATTTTGTGAAAAGTTCTGCAGTTTTATGCAAAACACTTTAAATCGTTTCACTATACATAAGACATAAGGCATGATTTGTCTCTAAATCCTGTTTAAGGAGGGAAAAATCCAGTCCTCTAGGAACATAGTCCTAGTATTAGTTGTCTGTTTATGTTGGATTTTTGAAAGAATGAACTATAAATGCTGTTGAGTAGCCTAAGATCGAGCTCATAGATTCCCAACAGTGTACATAGGCTCCTTCTCATCTTGCTTTTGCATATCACTTTTGCACTCCCCTGAAATTCCATTTAGTTTGCTTGCTTTTGTCTGTGTGTGTGTGTCAGTCCCAGGCAGTCTCGGGGTTATGACACTTCCCCAATAACAAGAAGGAAATCTTACGACCGTGCATACAGGTACACTGAATGCTCAGATTCTAGGCATTTCTCTCACAGATGCATCACAATGATTGAATGAAGTCATTTCAGTTGTACGCATTTTCAATTGACCATTTTTTAAAAATATCTTTCATTCTCCACTTTCCACAGGCCCACGGATGGCTACACTCCCCCGTCTTCTCCTCCTCTAAGGACCAGGAATGACCGCAATGTCTTTTCAAGGCTGACCAGCAACCAAACCCAGGGTTCTGCTCTGGACAAGTGAGTGAAAACATACACACTTTGTCTTTTCTGTTCTCAAATTGTCATATGATTTCTTCTGTTTTTCTTCAGACCACTACCTTCTTTTCTTTTTTCTCTCGCCCACGGTTTAAGGTCTTTTAGACTGAGTGAAGGTCTTTTGAGAGATAAGGGTAGACAAATTTGCTCCCTCACATTTCTTCATGCTTTAATGTAGGTCCTGTGGGGAGAAATGCTGCAAACAGTGTCTGGGTGGTAAAAGCATTAGAAGTCAGAGCAGGAAAAAGTTTTCAGACCTGCATTTGGTAGCTGTGAGGCTGTGATCTAATTACAATGGGCTTCCAGTCCATAAGAAAAAAGATAACAAGGAAATTAATGTGGCAAATCAATATAACGCTCCAATAAGATGAGCAATTGTGGCTTAACATGAGTGGGATCATTTTTCTGCACATGGCAGTGCCTTATGTCATCTATATTTTGGCCACAGAGGAGAAAATCAGCTTGTGCAATAATACATAATTTGATTCAAAGAACTTTGTGATTAATTTTGACCGACAGTATGTGAGTTTGTTGGTGCTGAGTCAAAGTTTCTTCAGTCTGGTGTGTTATTTAAGGCCTTTTACATTTTTTCATTGTATCAAAGTACATAAATGCAAGACATTCTAAATGCCTCCGGGTGTGGAACTGTGCAATCTTGCCACATTAGACGGAGGGATAATATGACTACGAGACCCGTGTCGGCGGAGAGTTTTCCTGCTTCCCTTCCTGCTCACAATCAATTCCAACTTTCCGCTCTGACAAATGTCAGCAGTTATCAACCAGCTTTTGCCTCAGCTCTGTAGTTCCTCTTTTTGTGATTGTTATTGGAAGCCAACATTGCTCAGCTTTATAGAGCTCTAATTGGTACCAGGGAGCAGGGATGCTGTGAAGGAAGGGCTTACGGTGTTGTGATTGTGCGCATGTGGGCTGTATGTGCTAATAACTGCACGTGTTGTGTATGCGGCAGCCTGTGGCTCCTCATTATCTGGAGCCGGGGTAGGTAAATGAGATGGGACTTGTCATGTTCTCATGCAGCTGTTGAGATTGTAGCTATTGTGCATAAACAGTATGGGAGGTTGTTCATGTTTATGGTCTTATAAGGTTGGCAGAGGAAATGACTTCCCATCAGGCCTGATGCAGCAATATGTTTGCAAGCAGTTTATATGTTTTTGCTGGAATGAAATGTCAGGTTGTTGTAAGATTGTAGATATTGTGTTTGCATAAGTTATCACTGGGTAAATCTCTTTTTTTGTACACCACATTTATCATTTTAACCATAAATGTCGTTTCACTTGTTTCATTGTTCTATCATTGCTTGAACTGACTTAAGTCTGCCTTTTTTATCCATCATCACAAGCATACATTCATTTAAATGTATTTATATGCAGCTTATGTATTAAAATGTAAAGCCAGCTGAGTTTTCTGGGATTGCCATGAAACTGTGTCTCTGATGAGAAACAAAGAACAAGGATAGTTTTGATTTTCTCTTCTTTCCAAGTTCATAAAACCCATTAAAACACAATTAGATGATTTTCTGATTATGACTTAACTTTCCTCTGGCTTTGTTTTTTTTCTTTCTTTTTTCTCCCACTGATTAATGCTTAAAAGCTTGCTGGCCCATGAGACTGGGATCAGGCATTTGACATGGATTTGGAACACAAGATGGGAATAAAGAAGGCAAATTTACCACAAAGTTTTCTCGTTATCTCTTGGATAAAGAGGCTTTGAATCCCAGATCCATTTTTAAATTGACTTTACATTTTCAAAACCAATGAATTTTAAGAGGATTTTGTGGTGACAGTCCAATAATTTTATGCTAATAGCCACCGTAACCGTAAATAGCAAGAAATGGAGGGACTGCTATCACCTTCTAAAGTCTGTCGTTCTCCTCAAACACATCCAGAACATTAAGTTTTATTATTTCATGTTCAGAGAGAACAACACGAGCCCTGAAGGTGACAAAGCAGTGCCTATAAAATATTTACAGTATAATAATAGTTTTACTGCCCTGTCACACACATGCTGGCATTTTCCTTTGAGCGATGGGGAAGGTACGGGTGTGGTGGGGACTTTTTCCTTTATCCTTCAGTCAACTATCTCCTCTTTGTTAAACCTGTGTGCTATCCCTTCCACCCTTTCTGTACTAACTCCCTGATTTTGTCTTGATAATGTGGGTTGTGGAGGGGACACTGGCCCCATAGTAAGACACAGAACAGAAAAGCGTAGAACTGTAAATGTCCAGTTCTGTGAAATTTTTGAAGAACTATTCTGGTATCAGTGTTTCCTCCTGGACCACTTCTCTTTTTCTGTGTGTTTCTGGTTCAGTTTTGTTCTGACTGATAGGTAATTCAGAACTATTAGCTCTTCAGCTAGTTTTTATGGGAAGATTGATACCACTTAAAGTGGCTAACTTTACTTAGGCCCATCGTTACCAAGGGAACAAAAATAAATGAATAGAGAAAGACAGTCTACCTATTTAGACACTAACATTTGTAAGGTAATGCCTTTTAGGCGCTAATGTAAGCAGTTTTGTAACTTTGGACAGGGTCAGGCTATTTTACCTTACAGATTCCTTCCCTTATGTCTTTATGCTGGGCTTAACTAACTGGAGGCTGGTTGTTATTTTTAAAGTGGTCTCAATCTTTTCAGCTAAATTCTTGACCATAATGAAAAAAGAAACTTCTTTCCCAAATATCTATATCGCCTCCTAATTTGCATTGCTAATGTTTCCTCTAACACTACTGGAATAAGTCCACTAAAGTCTGAGAATGGGTGTACCTTCAGTGACACATCCTCAGACGGAGGTTGAAGAATACTGCCTGTTTAGTGATTCTTCTTTTAGCAGAAACGCCTTTTGGGGCTAAATGCCTTCTTATCACTGGACAAGCTTTATTGTTGACCCAGCTTCCCTGTCAGTTTGTGAACTTCTTTGTCTCAACCCCTTCTACTAGTCATTCCTCCCTTTTTAACCCTTTGCCAGTAACCCTTCTGTCTTTTCTTGGTGTGCTTAACCCTTTCCTCTTCCCACCCCTCCTTCTCCTTGCTCCTCTTCTGCCTCCAGGTCAGATGACAGCGACTCCTCGCTCTCCGAGGTGCTCAGGTAGAGGAATCGTGTCTGTCATTGTTTTCCCGTTTTGCCTGTTAACTCTTGTGCTGTCTTGTCTCCATTGGTAGTCCAACCCTAGCCCCTCCCCTGTAGTCCTTTAAGGGTGGGGTTACTGTGGTGCATGTTTTAACCACGGAGGGCTTTTCTATCTCTGTGATTTTGTGTTTCTCTGTGGATACACGCAGAGCCAGAATAAAGCATGCCATGTGTTTTGCAGGCTGTAGACACAAACGTGAAATGGTATACAGTACATGCAAAAAAACAACTGTATGCTGTTTGACGTCAGTCTCTTCCTAAACATGTGTCGATATGCGTATGCAGATAAAGGAATGAAATACGTGTAGCTGCTAGATTCTGGGTCTGTTTGATCTGGTTCAGAACTAGCAAAAGATCCTTAAGGCTCTTTGTTTGTCAAAACAGTCACTGAGTAACTTAATTAAACCAAAAAAGTGAGAAGAGGGGAAAAGGGTCAGCTTTTAATTGGCACAAAAGCAAGTGTGCTGACTTTTTCTTTACACAGGTGTAGTCAATTACCCCAAAGATTATGACAGCCGAACATAGCAGATTTTTTCAGATAAAAGACTGGTGCATCTCTCATAATTGAAAATTAAAACTATTCCTGAAGTTCCCTGAATATGCAATATTTAGATTGGTCAGCAGGGGGCGACAATTGGTTACGAACAGAAGCCGAGTTCTGTAGAAGTCTAGTATCTACCCATCCTATTTCGAATTCCTGCTAAATCCAGTTAAGCACGCAGGTGTGCTGGACACTATCGCAGCTGCCATTGGGAGAAAGGCGAGTTACACTCTGGACAAGTCTCCAGCCCATCACAGACGCAAACAAGACAAACAACACTACGTGCACAGACCCATGCATTTGGTCAATGTAGAACCACTAGTCAACCCCACACACATTTTTGATTTGTCAACCAAAGCTGTAGTGCTCTGTATAGAAGCTTTCAGTTGTTTACACTCATACATAAAAGCCTTTCAAATCATCTCGTCACGAGGCAGCATGTGAAATGTACACACAGTCTGAGAGGTATGCGTTACAGAACAAACCCAGGCAGTCTGTAAGTGTGGAAAGCTAATGGTTCAGACCATTTCCACGTCTGTAACTTTCTTCACACTCCCCGAGGACTGTCATGTCCCCAGTTTTCATGCTAAGCTATACTTTCCAGCTGCTAAGAATAACATCGTATTTAGCTTGGAGAATATACTTTGTTGACCGAAATGATGAATGAAAGTGGTCCCATTTATAGATTTCCCCTTATTCAATGCAATAATTAACTGACTAGCACAAACACACACACACAGAAAAAGATGCACCCCACACAAAGACCCTTCAGTCTGTTTTTCTGTCTACTGCATAGACCACACGCTGATCTCCCCCCATGTTTTCATTAGTGCTGGTCTCGTGGGTCTTGGCCCTCCAACATCCATTAGCAGCTTGTACTCGGTGCATAACAGAGCACACTATGATATATTCCACAGATGCTGATAGTGTTGGAACATTCTGCATTCGGAGCTTTACACTTTTGTAAGAAACGGAGTGCTGCATCGAGCACATCACAGTGTATGCTGTGTTTTTTATTAGGCAAAAGATTACAAGAAAGTGCCAAATCTAATGCTATTATAGTTTCTTGGAATATAAAAGAATGAATGTGGTTATGTGGTATTAAAGCACAAAGATTATTTTTATATAATTATGTATGTCTAGATCCGTGATCTTTTTCTCATTTTAAAAGTTACAATGGTTAAGTTATGGTTTTCCAAACGTTTTATTTTATACCCCACATTCTTTCTACCGTGTTATATTCATATTTATAGTTTTTCAGCTTTTCAAAATGGAATGAGCCCTGACAGAGGTCAGGGCGGGTTGCATGTGATGCTGAGTTCATGGCACACATTTGTCTTGGCAGTCTGGTTTTACAGCTCTGCAGAAGCTGGTGATCTTACTGCGTTATCAACTTGTTACATCTCTCCACTCAACACACATATGCTTCATAACCTTTTCCATGAGCCCCACAGACAGCTGGCTGTGGGAGCTCTGAGAGTCAGCTCCCTCCTGAGTTGGGAGAGAATGCACATAATGCTGCATGTGGTGATGATGACATTATTGGCTGTGGAGCTGGTCTGTGGCTGTTGTAAATATGTGCTTTTCAGCATATTCTGTGTAGATCGGCTATTTCCTTTTTGTGCGTTTTGTGAAATTGGCAAACATGCATGCAGCCTTTTTCACTGTCTGGCGATTGAGATGATCTGATTTGGGTTTGAAAGACACAGAATTTATGATTTAGCTTTGTAGTTTTTTTCCGGCTTGGACATCAGTGAACAGAGAAGAGGAGCATGTTGCCATTCATGACACGAGCTTCTGATTTTTTTTCTCAGTCTGTGCAAAAATAAAATCTGTACTGTTTTATGTGTGCGGTTGTCTCTTCCCTCCTTACACCTCTCTGTCTTTTGTGCTTTCTCTCTCTCTTTCACACACATCTGCTCTCACATATACACTAACCACTGCCATGTTGTCCACCAGGGACCAATTTTTTCCACAACCCCTCCTTTTCCTCTCACCCTCTCTCTGCTCTGTCTCACCCAACCAACTGCTCTACAGGCACTTTGGGACTTTGGACTGTCAGAGGGACATAGATTGGGAGGGGGAGGGGGTGGGTGGGGGGCAGAGGTCCAGCTTGGGAGATTGAGCATACGTGTATGTCTGTGTAAGTGGGGGTTTGAGGGAAAGACAAGCTGAAAAAAAAGCAGCTCTTTCAGTTGTAAAACATTAATTGGGCTGCTTCCCAACTGTTTGTGTGTGTGTGTGTGTGTGTCTGTGTGTGTGTTGGCTGAACAGAGAACTGAGGTACAGGGCTTAATAACAAACAAGACAGAATGTGTACTCGCATAACTGATACTGTGCTTGAAACTGGAAAGAAAAAGAAAGTACACAGTAGCCAGATCTTAAAATGAGGTAAATGCATCCCAGATGAACACCACCACACAAGACATTGCACTGTGTCATTACGTATTTAACAAAAACAAAGCCAAAATACAGAAGGAGTTTGTGGAAAAACAAATTACACCCCGTGAGCCAGCAGCTTGTAGAACCAACCTAAGCAGCAGTAAGTTGAACTGATTGTTTTCTGCATAATGTCATCAGTAGCACATCACTGTGAG